GTTTTAATGATCTCGTTAACAGTGCAGTTTGCTTGCAGGGAAGCTACCTTCAGAATATTTTTTTTTTATTGGCTGAAAAAATTACTACAGTTTTTGCTAGTGGCATACATAGTCACTGTTTATTCTCCGGCCTACCTATGGCCACAAATTATTGCCTCACATCTACCACAATCCCGATATTCCAGCTTGGAATGACTACTTTTTGGCTCGGCTTCCATGGCTTTTTCTTTTCTTTCTATTTCTATTACATACAAATAAAAAATATGGGTTGAAAACTCAACTTCAGTAGATTAAGATGGGAGATGGTCCGGAAGCCGGGAGCTGTTTTTCGAGTCACAGAATTCATTTACAGCTTGCAGTGAAATTTGATGTGGTTTAAAAGCCAAAAAGGGGGAAACTGCCAGTTTTTCATTTATTTTTTTTTTTCATAATTTCAAAATTCAGTTTTGCAATTTTTTTTTTTTGAATTTCAGACTTTTAGCCGGTCGTACACACGGCTATTCAAATTCCGATCTTGTGGCGTTGTGCCGTGAAGCAGCAATGGTACCAGTTCGTGAGCTGTCACGAAAAGACGTGCAAAATTTGACTGGTACAGAAATTCGGCCCATTACAATTCAAGATTTTGAAACAGCAATGAGAGCAATCAAACCGTCAACCAAAGAGAAAATGCTAAGACAGCTGCGCAAATACGCTGAAACAGCCGGGCAGTGTGATTAACCGGGTTAATTCAGGCTATCATCTCTGTTGTAGCTCAGATTGCTGTATATCAAAAAAAAAAAAAATTCTTAAAACAGCTTGTGTGTATGTGTGTTGTCATCTGTATTATTTTTGAGCTTATTGACATTTGTGATACATACACTGGATCTCATCAGATCTAGCCTATATTCTACTGACTTTGTCCTGCTGTTCTGAGCGGAGAGAGGCTTGGAAATCATAAAAATAGGAGGTAAATGTGCAAAAAAAAAATTAAATCTGGAATTTCGAAATTCAAGGCCTGCTTATTGTGCTCGCCCTAAACCTAGGAATACAACATTCTGTTTTTGCGCTGAACAAGAAAAGGTGTAAAAATGGCTCACTTGGGGGAGGGGAGAGGGAAGGGGATGAAGGTTGATAAGGAGTGGGAGTTAAGCGAAGCTGGTTTAAAAATCATCTAGGTCGGCTCCTGATTGTCGTAACAAGCGTTAAAGTGCTAACAAACTCACATGAATTTCGATGATTTCTTGCCCAAAGGATAACAGTCTCACCGGGAAGGATGAAATTTGCTCAGGAACGGGTGGGGAGGGGGGAGGGGGCAAGGGAATGAGGAATTTCGGTTAAATGGCTCGCGATTAAAGAGATAGGTTTCATTATTACTTTTTTTTTTTTTTTTTTTTTTTTTC